ACACACTGGCACACATACACACACACTCAGATACAAACACTGACACAAATACACACTAGGGCACATGCACACACCTGGACATACAGATACACATATTGACACAAATGTACACACTGACAGTATTACTAATGTAGTTTCACACATACACACACGCTCATAAACACTGACACATAGATGCACCTTGACACACACATACACACACTGGTACAGAGATACAAACTCAGATACACACACTGACAGATACACGCAGTGACACACAGATGCATACACTGGCACATATACACACACTCAGAAACACTGACACACACACCTTGAAGCACAGATACACAATGACTCAAAGATACACACTCAGTTACACACAGTGACAGACTGATACACACTGACAGACTAATACACACTGACACAAAGAAACACACAGTGACACACATATACACACACTGACAGACTGATGCACACTGACACAAAGAAACACACAGTGACACACATATACACACACACTGACAGACTGATGCACACTGACACAAAGAAACACACAATGACACACATACACACACTGGCAGACTGATACACTGACACATACACCCTGACACACAGACACTGAAAGACTAATACACACTGACACAAAGAAACGCACAGTGACAGACCGATACACACACTGACAGACTGATACACACTGACACAAAGAAACACACAGATACACACACTAACAGACTGACACAGTGACTGATACACACTGACACAAAGAAACACACAGATACACACAGTGACAGATCGATACACATTGACACGAAGAGAGACACAGTGACAGACTGATACACAATGACAGAAAGAAGCACACAGTGACACACATATACACACACTGACAGACTGATACACATTGACGCAAAGAAACAGTAACACACAGATATACACACTGACACAAAGACACACACAGATACACACACTGACACAAAGAAACACACAGGGACACACAGATACACACACTGACAGACTAATACACACTGATACAAAGAAACGCACAGATACACACATATACACACACAGTGACAGACTGATACACTCTGAGACAAAGAAACACACAGTGACATACAGATACACACACTGACAGACACATACACTAACACACACATTTTCTCTCACACTCACAAATTGCTATTTTTATTTTAATTTAAATCCACCTAGGATCCTTAGCTTTGGAAGAGCAGAGTGATTTCTCTGGCGTGCAGCGGGGCTCCTCTCTAATCTTCCTGCAGTTCCTCTCTGTTCCCTTGCGCGCTCTCTGTAGTGATGCCAGGGACGGGGAGACGCCATGTCACTAAACAGCGTGCGAGGGAGCAGAGAGGAACTGCAGGAAGGTAACTGCTCCCTCGTGCGCCGCCTCCATACTCTCCGCGGCGGCTGACTTCAATGTTTCCTGCCCGGCTTAGCAAAGGGCTGACAAATCCCAGACGCAAAATTTCTAGTTGCTATGGCGACCTGTCCCCTGGGATTTGTTGAGCCCTGGGTACATGTGTGTGTGTGTGTGTGTGTGTGTATATTTATATATATATATAATTTGTTGGTGTTTTGCACTCCAGCTTTCCTCTTTTTAAACGCCCGGTGCTCAGCTGCACAAAAATACAGATTCCAAGTAAAGCCAGCACTCGAGGACTTGTATAAAAAATAAATAAATAAAAAATAGCTTTTAATCCATAGTCAACGTTTCAGTTCACTACAGAATTATGTCCTGATGAAAGTTCCCTGTAGTGAACTGAAACGTTGACTATGATGGGGCACAGGAACACAAAGGACATAAACCAATCAGAACAAACATACAGTCTGTGAGACGCCCGGGTACAGCACACAATCCCTCCTCTCTGCTTGGGAGATAATTGAGTAAAGTCCTGTAAGTAACTCAATTATCTCCAGGCAGAAAAAACACATGTTCACAAAGTTCAGAAAGTACCCCAAAACACAGCATCCCCGGATAGCCCTGATCTGGGTGAACAACAGATCAAAAAATCACCCAGATCAGAACAGGGGCTCAAAAGTTTCGTGGAAGTCTCTTTTTGAACGGTTGCAAGCATGGCTTTATGCCCAAAACCGTTCCAGGAAATTAGGGCCAGCGGTCGGTCTCTCTTTGTGGAGAACAAAAGTACTTACATTACATGAATGGAGCCTTTTAAAGGGAAATTGCAGGGCCCATAGTCACAGGGTAGGAGGCAATGAAACAGGCAAACTCACACAAAAAGGGGAGTTTGTCACACGCCCCTACTATAATCCCTGGCCCCTCATGTACCTTCCCCCTAAATATCATTCCAGGAGACGCCACTGCAGGGCAGAGCTATTCATACAGTGTCCAGTTATTTGTAGAATTGATATGTGGCCCCGCTGAATGTTCATTGTGCCCCCATTTTAGGGCCAGCTACTCACAATAAATGGCTGTCACCGTGCGTCCTCACGAAGTGTTTGGACTAAATCACAGCTTTCCTATAATCTTTCCAGTAAAAGCTAATTGTTCATTGAGATCACGTCCTCTGTGTATCAAATCATCTTAAAATGCTTGAATAACTGGCTGCAAATGAACGACTGACTGTTTTCGGCGATCCATTTATTGATTAACCGTTATTTAATTCCTGCTGGACTGAGCGGGTCTGAAACACTTTACAAATCATTACTGACCACCAGGACTGAGGGGGTTAACCCCCAGCTGGCAACAATATATGACAGAGATTTGATTTCATTTTACAGGAGAAAAAAAGCTATTTAATATTTTTAATATCACTCTATATTATATTAACCTTGCTGTCATACCCCTTAAAGGGATGTGTAAAGGCTTACCCACAGCAGAACTGAACTTTCCTGGGCTCTAAAAGTCATTGAGGATCTGGGGGCCTGGTGGGCACATTATCAGTTCCGTGGGTTCCGTGCGAGTTGGCATTTTATAAAGATCAACCTGCGCATGGCCGCCTCGATTTACCGTAAATCCTGAAAACGCTAGTGCAAGAATCATCACTATGGAATATGTTAGCGCTGTATAAGTACAGTTACAATAAGACACAATCACTAACTTTAATCTGATGATGCAGTGTGTTCATAGAAGTAGTATGGCTGGAAAATCGCCCTGGGATGGCGCTATTTACTAAACTGTCATATGGAGTGATTGGGAAAATTCGCAAGTTCATCTCAGCTATTCTGTCCGGGATTTCGTGATTTAATTCTCCAAATCTCCTGAAAAGTGAAAATGTGGCTTTATGAGAATAGCACTTTATTAGCTTGGAGAATTATTCTAATCTGGTTATTTAGCCCAAATATGTGACAGAACCTGTCCTGTGCTAATACAAAGACATGCATAGAATATTCTAATACAGAGATAGGGATAGAACGTTCTAATACAGAGACACAAATAGAACGTTCTAATACAGAGACACAGAATGAACATTCTAATACAGAGATAGGGATAGAACATTCTAATACAGAGACACAGAATGAACATTCTAATACAGAGATAGGGATAGAATATTCTAATACAGAGATACGAATGAACATTCTAATACAGAGACCCAAATAGAACATTCTAATACAGAGATATGGAATGAACATTCTAATACAGAGATAGGGATAGAACGTTCTAATACAGAGACACAAATAGAACGTTCTAATACAGAGACACAAATAGAACGTTCTAATACAGAGACACAGAATGAACATTCTAATACAGAGACCCAAATAGAACATTCTAATACAGAGATACGGAATGAACATTCTAATACAGAGATAGGGACAGAACGTTCTAATACAGAGATACAGAATGAACATTCTAATACAGAGACCCAAATAGAACATTCTAATACAGAGATACGGAATGAACATTCTAATACAGAGATAGGGATAGAATGTTCTAATACAGAGACACACATAGAACATTATAATACAGAGATAGGGATAGAACATTCTAATACAGAGACATGGATAGAACATTCTAATACAGAGATAGGGATAGAACGTTCTAATACAGAGACACAGAATGAACATTCTAATACAGAGACACAGAATGAACATTCTAATACAGAGATAGGGATAGAACATTCTAATACAGAGATAGGGATATAATATTCTAATACAGAGATAGGGATAGAATGTTCTAATACAGAGACACAGAATGAGCATTCTAATACAGAGACACAAATAGAACATTCTAATACAGAGACACAAATAGAACATTCTAATACATAAACACGGAATGAACATTCTAATACAGAGACACGAAATAAACATTCTAATACAGAGATAGGGATAGAACGTTCTAATACAGAGACACAGAATGAACATTCTAATACAGAGAAACGGAATGAACATTCTAATACAGAGATACGGATAGAACATTCTAATACATAAACACGGAATGAACATTCTAATACTGATATACGGATAGAACATTCTAATACAGAGACACAGATAGAACATTCTAATACAGAGACACGGAATGAACATTCTAATACAGAGACATGGATTGAACGGTTTAATACAGAGAGATGTATAGAACCTGCATTGCTCTAATAACGAGATATGGGCAGAATTTGCATTGCTTTAATACAAAGAGATGACATGTATATTGTTACTGCATTACTGGAGTGTGCACTCACACTCACTTTGTTCTGTTTAGGAGCTGGGAAGCAGCACCCCTCCGCAGAGGAACTGGAAGGGAATTGCCATCGCTCTGCTGGTCATCCTGGTGGTCTGTTCACTCATCACAATGTCTGTCATTCTCCTTACCTCAGGTGAGTAGCCACTCAGTAAGTGATCCCCACCAAGTGTATGCTAAGAAAATACAATGCTTGTAATTTGGGGAGCATTGTGATATAATACTGGTAACTGAATGGGAGAGGGGGTCTGTAATGTTTTCCATGCCATGGGGTATACTACATTGGTTCATTCAGACACCTACCTATTATGCCATACATACCTGCTTACTTCATCGTCCGGCCAGCTCACTTCCCCTTCTCCTTGATGTCCCCTGTTCATGACACATTCTGTCCTATCTCCCGGATGTCCCCTGTCCGAGTCATGTTCTGTGCCAGCTCCCTGATGTCTCCTGTCCACGTCATATTCTGTCCCAGCTCCCTGATGTCCCCTGTCCGCGTCATGGTCCGTCCCATCTCGCTGATGTTCCCTGTCTGCGTCATGTTCTGTCCCATCTCCCTGATGTCCCCTGTCCGCGTTATGGTCCGTCCCATCTCCCTGATGTTCCCTGTCTGCTTCATGTTCTGTCCCATCTCCGTGATGTCACCTGTCCGTGTCATATTCCGTCCCAGCTCACTGATGCCCCCGTCTGTGTCACATTCTGTCCCATATCCCTGATGTCCCATGTCCGTGTCACGTTCTGTCCCATCTTCCTGATGTCCCTTGGCCGTGTCACGTTCTGTCCCATCTCCCTGATGCCCCTGTCCGCATCATGTTCTGTCCTATCTCCCTGATGTCCCCTGTCCGCGTTATGGTCCATCCCATCTCGCTGATGTTCCCTGTCTGCGTCATGTTCTGTCCCATCTCTGTGATGTCCGCGTCATATTCTGTCCCAGCTCACCGATGTTCCCTCTCCTCGTCATATTCTGCCCAGCTCGCTGATGTTCCCTGTTTGCACATTTTGTCCCATCTCCCTAATGCCCCCTGTCCGCGTCATGTTTTGTCCTATCTCCCTGATGTCCCCTGTCTGTGTCATGTTCTGTCCCAGCTCCCTGATGTCCATGTCATGTTCTGTCCCATCTCCCTGATGTCCCATGTCATGTTCTGTCCCAGCTCCCTGATGTCCCCTGTCCATGTCCTGTTCTGTCCCATCTCCCTGATGTCCTATGTCCGCGTCATGTTTTGTCCCATCTCCCTGATGTCCCCATTTCTGCGTCATGTTCTGTCCCAGCTCCCTGATGTCCCCTGTCCGTGTCCCGTATTGATCATAATGGAAGTTTAACAAGCTTAAAGTTTCTTTAAAGCATGTCACTGTATTCCTGTGAAATCTGATTTATTGTCCTGACCCAGTTTGACATGGTCTATAGAGCAAATCATGTTGTGCTGAATATAGAACAGTGTCAAATATAACATGCTTAACGTCATCTTGTCCTGTTTCAGTTAGAAAGTAATCAATGTTAAACAAGTCAGCATTTGGCATGGAAAGAGGGTCCATATATGGGCATTGCTGGGTTTAAACTAGATCGGTATTAATTGGTTTATAGGCATGGCACACTCCTGGCAGGCATCTAGTGGCCACCACTGACAATCTCCATGTGCCATAATTACTGAGGCATTAACAGGCCACAACAGATGACATAGGGTTACCAAGCCTGGCACATTTATCAAGTCAATTCCCCAGCAGGGCCCAGGAAGTTTTCCCTGCTAAATGGCTATATTGGTCCCAGAGAGAAATGTTTGGCAATCAGCTGTGTGTCTTGGTGAATGTCCTGCTGTAGGACACGGGTTGGAGCAGAGTCTGTAGTCTGCACTGAGTGCAATATGATATATTCCGCTAATTAATCCCTTGGAGAGCCTGTTCCTATTTCCAGACTCTGTGCTGTTTAAAGTAAAAGCCAAAACTCATGCATTTTTCATATTTCTGTTGTAGAACTTTTTCCTGCTGTTAGAAGCCAGTCACAATCTGTCGAAATCAGTAATTTCACCCCTGAGATGTATCTCATTATCTCTCAAACAGAAATGGAAACAGAAAAAACTAAACATGGAGCATACATAAATAAATGGAATAAAATATACAGTGTGTGAATGCACATCAATAAATGGAATAAAATATACAGTGTGTGAATGCACATAAATAAATAGTATAAAATATACAGTGTGTGAATGCACATAAACAAATGGAATAAAATATACAGTGTGTGAATGCACATAAATAAATAGAATAAAATATACAGTGTGTGAATGCACATAAATAAATAGAATACAATATACAGTGTGTGAATGCACATAAATAAATAGAATAAAATATACAGTGTGTGAATGCACAGAAATAAATGGAATAAAATATACAGTGTGTGATGGCACATAAATAAATAGAATAAAATATACAGTGTGTGAATGCACATAAATAAATAGAATAAAATATACAGTGTGTGAATGCACATAAATAAATACAGTGTGTGAATGCACAGAAATAAATAGAATAAAATATACAGTGTGTGAATGCACATAAATAAATGGAATAAAATATACAGTGTGTGAATGCACAGAAATAAATAGAATAAAATATACAGTGTGTGAATGTGCATAAAGAAATAGAATAAAATATACAGTGTGTGATGGCACATAAATAAATAAAATGAAATATACAGTGTGTGAATGCACATAAATAAATAGAATAAAATATACAGTGTGTGAATGCACATAAATAAATGGAATAAAATATACATTGTATGAATGCACATAAATAAATAGAATAAAATATACAGTGTGTGAATGTGAATGTGTGTGAATGCATAAATAAATAGAATATAAATAAATAAAATAAAATATACATTGTGTGAATGCACATAAATAAATAGAATAAAATATACAGTGTGTGAATGCACATAAATAAATGGAATAAAATATACCGTGTGTGATGGCACATAAATAAATTGAATAAAATATACAGTGTATGAATGTGCATAAATAAATAGAATCAAATATACAGTGTGTGAATGCACATAAATAAATGGAATAAAATATATAATGTGTGATGGCACATAAATAAATAGAATAAAATATACAGTGTGTTAATGCGCATAAATAGAATAAAATATACAGTGTGTGAATGCACATAAAGAAATGGAATAAAATATACAGTGTGTGAATGCACATAAATAAATAGAATAAAATATACAGTGTGTGAATGCACATAAAGAAATGGAATAAAATATACAGTGTGTGAATGCACAAAAATAAATGGAATAAAATATAGTGTGTGTAAATGCACAAAAATAAATAGAATAAAATATACAGCATGTGAATGCACAGAAATAAATTGAATAAAATATACAGTGTGTGAATGCACAGAAATAAATGATACACAATACACAGTGTGTGAATTCACAGAAATAAATGGAATAAAATATACAGTATGTGAATGTACAAAAAATAAATGGAATAAAATATACAGTGTGTGAATGCACATAAATAAATGGAATAAAATATACAGTGTGAATGCACAAAAAATAAATAGAATAACATATACAGTGTGTGAATGCGCATAAATAAATAAAATAAAATATACAGTGTGTGAATGCACATAAATAAATGGAATAAAATATACATTGTATGAATGCACAGAAATAAATAGAATAAAATATACAGTGTGTGAATGCACATAAATAAATGGAATAAAATATACAGTGTGTGATGGCACATAAATAACTAGAATAAAATATACAGTGTGTGAATGTGCATAAATAAATAGAATAAAATATACAGTGTGTGAATGCACAGAAATAAATAGAATACAATATACAGTGTGTGAATGCACATAAAGAAATGGAATAAAATATACAGTGTGTGAATGCACAAAAATAAATGGAATGAAATATAGTGTGTGTAAATGCACAAAAATAAATAGAATAAAATATACAGTGTGTGAATGCACAGAAATAAATTGAATAAAATATACAGCGTGTGAATGCACAGAAATAAATTGAATAAAATATACAGTGTGTGAATGCACAGAAATAAATGCTACACAATACACAGTGTGTGAATGCACAGAAAGAAATGGAATAAAATATACAGTGTGTGAATGCACAAAAATAAATGGAATAAAATATACAGTGTGTGAATGTACAGAAATAAATTGAATAAAATATACAGCGTGTGAATGCACAGAAATAAATTGAATAAAATATACAGTGTGTGAATACACAGAAATAAATGCTACACAATACACAGTGTGTGAATGCACAGAAAGAAATGGAATAAAATATACAGTGTGTGAATGCACAAAAATAAATGGAATAAAATATACAGTGTGTGAATGTACAAAAAATAAATTGAATAAAATATAGAGTGTGTGAATGCACATAAATAAATGGAATAAAATATACAGTGTGAATGCACAAAAAATAAATAGAATAACATATACAGTGTGTGAATGCACATAAATAAATGGAATAAAATATACAGTGTGTGAATGCACACATAAATAAATAGAATAAAATATACAGTGTGTGAATGCGCATAAATAAATAGAATAAAATATACAGTGTGTGAATGCACAGAAATAAATAAATAGTGTGTGATGGCACATAAATAACTAATATACAGTGTGTGAATAAATAAATAGAATAAAATATACAGTGTGTGAATGCACATAAATAAATAGAATAAAATATACAGTTGTGTGAATGCACATAAATAAATAGGAATAAATATACAGTGTGTGAATGCGCATAAATAAATAGAATAAAATATACAGTGTGTGAATGCACAGAAATAAATGGAATAAAATATACAGTGTGTGATGGCACATAAATAAATAGAATAAAATATACAGTGTGTGAATGCACATAAATAAATAGAATAAAATATACAGTGTGTGAATGCACAGAAATAAATGGAATAAAATATACAGTGTGTGAATGCACATAAATAAATAGAATAAAATATACAGTGTGTGAATGCACATAAATAAATAGAATAAAATATACAGTGTGTGAATGCACATAAATACATAGAATAAAATATACAGTGTGTGAATGCACATAAATAAATAGATAAAATATACAGTGTGTGAATGCACAGAAATAAATAGAATACACGGTGTGTGAATGCAGATAAATGAGAATAGAAGGCAGATAGTATGTGAATGTGCATAAATAAATAGAATATTGTCAGGCTCCCGCGGGCGGCTGCGAGGGGAGGCTGCACTCCGCTCGCAGTACTCACCCTCCAGCCGTCCGCGGTCCCCTCCGCGTGTGGGTACGGCGAGCGGCATCCTTCCAGCCTCGGATGCCGCCCGCCGTTCCCTCCACATCCCCCAGCGGCAGCATGCATGACGCTGCACGCTGGGAGTCCGCCCAGGTTTATACACGCCGGGGTCAGTCACCTGACCCGGCGTAAAAGGCACAGTGCCTCAATCACAGTGGGAGGTCTAAATATCTCCCGTGTGTGATTTTAATTCTGATTGGAAATTATCCAATCAGAATTAACCTGAAATAAATACTTACCTTTCCTGTTCCCTTTGCCCTGTATTTTTGCTTACCCTTGTGCTTCTGGTTTACGTACTCTGCTTGTTTTTCTGACTCTGTGACTTTCTCCTACCCTTTGACCTCGGCTCGTTTCACGTTATTCTGTCTTCTGGTTCCCCTTTACTCGGCTTGTCTCCTGACTATTCTGTGTG